TGTCGCTGCTGGAGTGCTCTAACGATAGCCACTTGTGGTTTTCCAGCCAAATATAAAGAAATCACACTATCCCGCTTGAATTCCATCACGAATAATTTTTTTTCTGGAAAATTCTCATCAAAATGCTTTTGTACGCTTGTAAGCATTATAATTATATATTAACGATATGAGCCACTTTTTTCCAGCGGAATTTAAATTTGATATTTGAAAATTGTAATGAGTAGTTATCCCCCAGTCAGGTCCACGTTTCAATATAGCTCCCATATAACAGCACCTTCTGTTTTAATGATTTAATGCTTATCCCTCCGGCACATCTGATTTTATGAATTCAGCCGGATTTTGGAATGGTCTAGAATTTCATATGTAAAGTTAGTAATAGGTGCTTACACCTTTGTCAGAAAACTGTAGAGTTAAATCCAGTTGTGCGTATAATCCCGATATTCAGTACTTTGCTGATTTTAGCCGCATTTTTCAATGGAATTGTCTGGAATTTTATATTCAATAGTTTTCGGGATTCAACGTACCACCGGTTTAACGAATTCGAGATTTAACGAACTTCTAAATATTTTACATTGAGTACCTTACATTACAAATACTGCAAAGATATTTGTACTTGATATAACGGGCAAAAAATAAAACAACTCCACCCAAGATCTTAAAAAAATGCAAACCAATTCCATTTATTTGGTTTTTATTTGAAACTATATATATTATATGTAATTATGCATTGTCCACAACATATAAGATTTTTTATTTCAGTAGTGTTTGAGTGAACAATCCTTATTATAAATAGTGTTCTGTTTAAGGAATTTTTCAATTTTACGAACAGGGCTGATATTATATAGTTCGTTAAATCGAAAAACTACTGTATATAGTTGTTTATGTGTTCCGGAAGAAGTAAATTGTCCATAAAGGTCTACGTTTATCTATAGCCTCCATATAAGGGTCTATGTTTTTCTATAGCGTCCATATAAGGGTACCTATCGCTAATACGTTTTTTGACGATTATAGCCGCAGTTTGCAACGGCATTGTTTGAAATTTGCTATTTGAAGTTCTTACCAGATATTAATCTCTTAGACAAAAGGAAGTTTATATAGGTTCCATACAACGGTATCTTCCTTTATTTGTTATTTTAATGATTATGGCCACATTTTTCAACGAATTTGTTTAGGTGCACATCTAGGTATAGTCCCCATATGTCGGTACCGCCCATTTTATGGTATTTTGAAGGCTTTAGCTGCATTTCACTGGCATTTGATGTTTAAGAAGGAACTCGTTTGAATATAAAATATACTTTTATTTTTTTTTTAATTTTCTTTACCTCGTTGTAGAATGTATTAAATGCGCGGCCCTGCTAAACTTAATGCTTTTATACCACCGCCATTTTATGGAGAGTATATTACGTTTATCATTATGGTGCTACCCCTTGATATTTCATTTCAGACCCCACAAAATACGTATACAAATTCCAGATCAACATAAAATTCGATGTGCCACATGTATAAGTTTCGATATAGTTCCCATATAACGGTAATGACAAATTTTAGGTCTTTTGGGATTTTAGCTACAATTTTAAGCTAAATACGCTAAATACGTAGATTGTGTTCCCAGTATGTAGGAAATATCCACGCAGGAAACTTCTTGTTAAAGCACCCATATTACAGTACCTTCTAGTATTCTGTATTTTAATGAGTTCGGACACACTTGCCATAAAACTGTTTCCAATTTAGTATTTGGTGTTTTAAATGGATACTGCATTTTGTGACAAAAATTGCATTTACAGATCCACATCTTAGTGTAGTACTTATATTTTTATTATTGTACACAGGTCCACATCTTCGACATCGTTCATATGATGGTATCTACCGATATTCGGTATTTTCCGATTTTAACCACATTTTCCAACAGAATTATTTAAAAATTGTTATTTGGCGTTTGCAGGAACACAGCATTTGAAATTTTATCTAGTTTCTTATAAAAGGTGGAGAGAGTTAAAAGTTCGGCCGGCCAATTTCTTCTTCTATTGTCCTTTGCTGGTCTTTAATCTATACTATATCTACCCTTTCCTCTTTTCTTAATTAGTGTCATTGTTGCTAATTTTTAATTTACGAGAAGACAACTTCAAAATGAATTAATGTCAACCTCTCTACTCCTCAAAAAAAAAAAAAAAAGACTCATTACAAATCTAATTAGCAATCCATTATTTTAAGAAAGGAATGTCACCACAAATATGTAAACAAATAAGTATTTATTCTTTAGCTCTTTTCGTGTCGAATACCCTAGTTGAAATAACGTTTTGTTAATCCGATTTGCAATTATTTTTTTGGGCTGGGTTATAGAAAAAAATCGATTAATTTAAAATATAATATTTATTATTCATTAAATATTTATTACAACCGCTACAAATACATACTTAATGACTATTGCAAACTCATCCCCTTCAGATACTGAACTTGATTTTGTCGCACTTAAGACGACCAGAGTCAAAGTTAAATGTAGTTTTGTTTAAAGAATTGTCGTTTGAGCCCGATGTCCATTTTCTTATATTTGTAACCATAATATCGTCAAAATGTTGAGGCTTCTTTAGATAGCAGTAATTGTGCTAAGGTCAATCCCTCCCAATTTAACCATTTTTTATTATTTCGGTCACATTACTGTGAATTTGAAAGACTGTGCCACATCAACTCTAAATAAGTGTAAAAGGCTGTAAAATCTGAAGCCTGGCACGTGTTGCACCTGACGTTTTTACTCATCTGTCGATTGTCGTCAAATAAACGCATCAAATTAAAATTATCTAACATCGTATGAATGTGTTGCTAAACGCATTACCCGACTGTGTTGGAATTTACATTCAAAGATTGCTGCCGTTCGTTGAGGGGTGACTGATTATTTTGCTTCCACAAATAGATACGACAGAACGCTTGCACATGTGTGTGTGTTTTTGTATGCACTCACGTAAATATTTTTGGCGAAAATATTTCGCATTTAACATTGGTAATTGCAATGAAACATGTCATACTAATGGAAAGACATGCAAAATTCTCCATGCACATTCCTAATTCCCAACAATAACACACACATACACACACATACGCTTTCTCAGTATTTTAAATATTTAAAGCGAAATAACTGTAGCATATTTCGATGGAATGTTAATAATATCCAAAAATGTCTATTATTCAAAGACTTTAGAGAGATATTTTGAACGTTAATATATTGTAATTGGCTACAAATACGCTTTGTGGTAAATATTGATTATTTGTTTTAATTAGATGTTTGATATTACTGGCTAAAAATTTGATAACCACAGCCTAGGACACAAATGTAGCTAGAAATTGATTATTGAAAATTCGCGGAATCAAGGCCCAAGATATAAAAATTTCCCTACCAGATGTCTAAAAATGTAAAATAAATTTACAATTTCTTATGTTTGGACTCCCCACGCTGCGTCAGTGACCAGGGGCTTATACAAAGACATAAAACTAAATTGATATGGCGGTTTAATTTTTCCATCAGGCGAAAGATGACCGAGGACATTTCCAAAATACATTCGAAAAACCAGTAATGAAAGGTCAAAAATCGGGCGGGGTAGACTAAATAATACCCTATACCACCATGCCTATTTAGTAGCCCTCCCGTAACAAAAAAAGTTTATATTGAGAATTTATGTGAAGTAGATCACACTGTAGAGTATGAGTAGTTATAATTTGATTTCAGGGGGGATGGATTTAAACCAAATTTGACGTAAGCATTTTTACATCTCATTCAGAATAACATTGCTATAGAGTGCATGAAGAATTATATTAAAAAAATTTATATCGGAGCCGAGTTCCACCAAATGGAAAACTTTGGTTGAATGTGAAAAATCAACCTAATCCATCACCATTCATATATGGTGAGCGATAACCGCAAAATCGGATGATTATATATATAGAAGCTATATACAAATCTAAACCGATCTAGATAAAATTTGGAAGATATATTCCAGAGCTGTATCTGATATCCGATACCAAATATCATTGTTATGGACTGAAAAAAACTACAATGCTTATAATTTCGGTAATTTACGAAATTTGTCATTAAGTAAGCGACTAAATCAAGATATGTATGGGAGCCATACCTAAATCCGATCTCGAAAAAAAATTAAAACTATTATTCCTGAGCTGTATCTGATACCTAGTACTAAGTATCCTTACTGTGGAGTGCATATAACGCGTGTGGGGGACATAAACACCAAATCGGATGAAACTTATATATGGGAGCTATAGCTATATTTGAACAGATTTTCACCAAATTTGAAGTACTTGTTTCTAGGCTGATTTTCGTCGAATATACCGCAATTCATCCTACATCGACGAATATTACACATTTTGCGCAAAATAAAATTAAAATCGGACAAAGATATATATAGTCGCTATATCTAAATTTGGACGATTATTATTAATTTCAAGAGATTTCGTCCTTGAGCCAAACAAATGGAAAATTTCATCTCAATCGGAAAATAAATGCGATATGCATTTGGTTCACAAAAATACACGGACAGACGGAAGGAAATCCATAAATTTACTCAGAAAGTGATTCTGTGAGGATTCTCAAAAATACTATGGGTCTATCTCGATTCAAATGGAGTTATTAATGTGTATTAATATTTTGGGATTTCACCTTTATTCTTAATTGGAATCGAACGGAATGGAAAAAGTAAAGATTAACAACAAAATAGAACAGTGTGGCTTGTTTGTTCGGGATACCGTAGTATTTTGTTTTTGCAAAATGGTCTGGCTTTATCCCTTTATTGTTGTTTTTATAAAAACAACGTTTGTTTATTAGTGGTAGGTAGGTATTCCTGCCTTACCCCCTGGTAAACATTACCATCGTTCTCCACTAATAAACAAACGTTGTTTTTATAAAAACAACAATAAAGGGATAAAGCCAGACCATTTTGCAAAAACAAAAGATTAACAACAAATATTAAATTAATATTTGCGAAAAATATACTTACGTTTTTAAGAACATTCTTTTTATTATCTGAAAAAAAAACAATATCAATTAGTTACTTAGTGTAAAAAATTAAAAAAAATGTGATTAATTAAAATTTATTGATTAATTAGAATTGATTTTTTAATTTTTTTAATTTTGTATAAACTGTCTTTTTTCAATCCAAATAGTTGAACATCATTAAAACAAACACAACTATGTCGATCTGTACATTCTCTTATTTTTAATGTCAAGTATTTCCAAAATATTATTTGAATCAATCAGCCTATTTTCTTCACGAAAATACACATTTACGGTACAGAAAACCCCACTATATAGGCTGCACAGTCAGTAAACATATGCAACTATTTATCACATTTGCTAATAACAATATACAGGGAGAGATAAAAAAAACTGTAACAAAGTCAAACGCCATAATTTGCTTTCGGATTTTCGGATTGGTATCCGAAAATTTTGTGGCCATTGTGCGCTGGAAATGAAATGAGGAACCTCATTTTGTAAACATTCTTGGGTGTCGCGTGCTGAGTGGGATGGTGCTGAATTCTGTTGGAATGTTCAAAGTTTGTGGACAAAATGTTTGCGTGCCCAAGACTTTAATACACCCTCCAGAATATTTTCGCGATAATTTTCGGCATTTATTCTGATGCCACGGTCGATTAATACGAGCGGAGAGCGACCACAGGCTTTTATGGCGGCCCACACCATCAACATGGCAGGCGCTTCAGGCGATCTCTTTGGCAAGTAAACACGATCATTTTGTTTCTTTACAAACTGCTGGACAACGAATGTTTGGTCATCGGAGAAAACCAAATTCGGCAGTTCACCCCTTTTCATTCCGTTGCGGTGTAAGTTCTTGCACTTTTTGGAATTTCAATGGTATACCCCGACCTCAATATTAGCTGAATGGAATATTGCGATATGTTCAGCTCACGAGCCATTTTCGGCCACTGCTACGCGGGTTTCGATCAATTCGCGTCTTGACTTTACTTTTCGAACCATTTCTGCTGATGTTGCTGTTTTCTTCCGTCCACCTTCTTGACGTCGGGATACGCTACCGGAAACGAGCGATGGTACGAGACACAAACTATTTATTCACATTTAAATGCTGGAGTGCTCTAACGATAGCCACATGTGGTTTTCCAGCCAAATATAAAGAAATCACACTATCACGCTTGAATTCCATCACAAGTAACTTTTTTTCTGCAAAATTCTAACCAAAGTGCTTTTGTACGCCTGTAAGCAGTATAATGAGCTGTCACTGGAATAATTTTAATAGTTGTCGGACGAGTGGTTTAGAAATGACAGCAGTCTGAAATTAGTCGCAGCAATACAGGGTGAGTATTGTCGGTGTTATCCTTAAACGTTTCATACACTATTTTCGACATCATTTATAACGGTTTCCAGTGTGATCTTTCAGAACTTTTCCGATATCTGCTCGAGATATCTACATAACGCCGTTTAATTTTCAGGAGTTTCCAGTTAGAATATCAAAATCAGAATATTATTATTTGTTTAAAAAATTGGGAATTTACAATCTCAAGTATCAGAAAAACCTTTTTTGTAATTTGTTTCAAATAAAACGTAATATTTGCCAATTGCAGTTTAGGATATGGATCAAATTGAGGAAGATATTAAAAGGATCGCAGTTTTTTCTAATTATTCCAGTTAGTTATATAATTCGAGATGCAAACTTGTAAATCCGATTTTTTCACCGACGACATGGTAAATCTCCACGTTGTGTGGTACAATCTTTTTTTCATAGAACTTGACCTTAAGACTTCCGACGATATAGTCTCTGTGAACATGTTATGTTTATGATTCAGGTTTATTGCTAATTTTATTCTAATTGCAAACACTTCGTTCGATTGAATTTCTTTTCCGGAGTTTAGAAATTGTTGCTAACAACAGAGTGGTGAAGTGGTGAATTCTTATTAAATTCAATAATGTACGAAAAATAGTCATCTTTTGTTCTCGAATTTTATGATATCCAATTATTATCATTCATATATTTCAAAGAAGTGTACACACGCCTTTATGAAATTCCAAGTATTTTGCCCTAAATATTATGAGGATTTAGTTTATCCTTGTAGATATGTATTTTGAAATATTCCCATGGCAATGGTTACAAATCCTTATTAAAATAATATGCTATGCTTACGAATTTATAGATATGCATTCGCTCTGCTACCATATGCAGGGTAGCGGAGGGGGAACCGAGGCGAACAGAATTTAAGATATTTAAGTTGTTGTATAATATATATATTTGTGTGTGTGTGTGTGTGTGTATGTACATACCATATTGTTTTAAAACACAACTATACAACAATTCGAAGTCTAAAATACACAATATAGGCACATACGTATATGCACATATATAAAAATAAATAAATCCTGAGCTGAAAAATGTTCCAAACGAATATCCTGTTTTAATACCTCATACATACGCATGAACAGACACACACATTTATATATCCAGATTCCTACATTGGTACGAATATGAAGATGTGAGTGTGTTTTTGAAGTAAACACATACATATGTACACATGAATGTATGTATGTAGTGTCATATTCTGATACGTGTATCTGATAGCAGAAAATCAACGACAGCAACATTTTTTTCCGAGTTAATGTGACGATACAATCAGGGGTATGTAAATCGAACCTTTTTTATTTACAGCTCGATACGAGTATTGATTGTTCGCCGCAATAATGGAACTATGAAATGTTTAAACTTTACACTTTTCAAAATAACAAAAAACTTAGGTTTCGTTTGAGATATTCATGCAGTTTTGTGATAAAGTGTTTGATCTAGAAAACTTCGCTGAAAATAAAGTAGTATGAACGTAATTGTGAGATATGCAGCATTCACTGTTTCATACGGGTCTCAGATCTGGGAACATAAAAAGAGGACGTTGTAGAATAACACCTACATTTCTGAATCTAAATTCATATTTTTGCTGTAAACACCCGAACTTATACTGTTAATATCGAGACTGTTTGAAGCTCACTGTTTGGTTGTATTTTAAAATTGTTTTTGGATACACTAACAAAATCCTAGGACTTAGTTCAGGGTATGAGCGAAGGAAGTTCTTGATAAAAATATGAGTTGATCCAACCTGTGTTCCAATTATTAAGGAACGTGTAGAGTGGTTTCAATATGACTTATTGAGAGGCGAGATCGGTCCACATTTTATTTCAATTTTCTGAAGATTTTTTCGGCCGGAGTTCCCCTTAAAAGTAAAGATGTCAATATATCTATAGCTCTAATTTATATCCTTAACTTTGGCACGAGAGGTCACATTCATCATAAAAATAACTCCGTCAAATGTTTAAGAAATTGGTTAATATAAATAATATAGCTTCCATATTTTAGTTCCAACTGATTTTAAATGTAAGTCGCTCTAAAGTCGTTATACACAATCCCTTGCCACCATAGTATCCACATAGCGGTGGATGGTTTCACTAAAACGATCCCGCTTGACTTTTGTCCGTTCTCACTGATTTTGCTTTTAACATGTAATAATCTAAAAGAGAGTAATGTTCGTTACTTCGCATATAACTCAAGAACGGCTGGCCTGATGAAGAAAAAATGGCAGACACAGCTGTGGACCTACTTCTTTCATTTGGCAATAATCCATCCAACGAGAACTCAAAATGCGAAACTCATTGGGATTGCAATCAGTGAAATAGCGAATATAAAGAGGCACTGTAATATATAATGGTAGAGCGAATTAAAAATTAAAGGAAGTTCTTGATAAAAATATGAGTTGATCCAACCTGTGTTCCAATTATTAAGGAACGTGTAGATTGGGCACAAACGCTTCAAAATCTCGGCATTATGAATTATACAGTGTGTTTCATCATTATATGCTAAACAATTACCATTGCGAACGACACACGGGTCCACGAGCACCCTCTCTGTGGCAAATTCTGTATTTGGACTTAAACGGCCCACTCCTTCGTTAATATATTAAAAAAAAATCACAAATTTCAATTTAGACATTATATCTTCCGCAACACTGGTTTAAGCAGCTTTCTGTTTTGTTTCACTGTCACAACATCTTCATTTTGGTCTATGAGTAATTACAAACAGACTACGCTTGCAAATCATTGCATTTTATTAACAAAATGGGTGCTGTGTGCAATGGATACGTAAATAAGAGGAATTATCAGAGAAGCATAGAAGCATTGGACCATACTTCTTCAAAGGTATATCCATTTTTATACCCTCCATTATATTACAGCGATCTGCAGCACCTTAAAAAGCTGCTTAAACCAGTGATGCAAAAAAATATAATAATAATAGCTAAATTTAAATAATTAGCATCAAATTCTATGCCGATTTAACGATGTCCGTGTGTCTGTCTGTCTAGGATGGTTGAAATTGAAAATGAGAAGTATCGATTCACGTTTTCGTATAGCCGCGATATAACGGTATAACCCGATATTAAGCATTTTGATGATTTTAGTCAAATTAACACGTAATTGTTCCAAATTTGCTAAAAATATAAAAATTATTTACTCAGAAAATTTCGTTTTTCCAGAAGCTAGTGTTCGAAATTTCTAACAGTCAAGTTTACATCTATGTAAAGTCATGCTTGTGGATGCAAACCATGCATTTAGTATTTAGTGTAGCATATATAGTGGCAATAACTCCTCATCATTACTTTTTTCATTTATTATTTCTTTTGTTATTTTTTAAAATTAATTTAAAAAGTATCCAAAACTATGCGTTTCAGGTATGTACCCCTACTATCGAGGGCGAAGTGGGATATTTTAGGGTTGGATTTTTTAATTACTATTTTATGACTCTCTTTAACTACACAAAAATTTGTTTAAAATTGTACCCTTTTCATACATAAATATTTTTTGAAAAAGGGCATTTTTACGGTTCGAAAAATCGAACAGTGGAGCGAAATGGTTTGACATAGTTAATACTGGTGTACATTTTACCATAAAACGGTATCTCCAGATTTTCGGTATTTGTAGTTCATCAGGGGTTCTATAACCGGTATCAAAAAATTGTTCAT